TCCTATTTATAGCCACCAGAAGTAACTGACTTGAGAAACTGCTCCGCTGACGTGGAGTGACGGTTACCCTATTAACTGCTATGACGGTTTCCTTGACGTTGGATGTGTCACACTCTTCAGTCTTCACCCCCTTCTCTTGAGACCTCACTCTATACTCTTGGTATTTCTTCCGTAGCTTTGTTTTTCTGTAAAGCAAAAAATGGCTAAAGCATGAAAGCAGAACACGTGCCCATATAGGTGGAGGATATTGAATCACATGAGTTAACAATGGCAAAAATACTTCGCCATTACGAGAGTAGGGAAACCGCCTCTTGGCCATACCATGGGGGCATATGTTGGTGACCCCCAAACCATATCATATGGGGGTGGATATTGATCACGAGGTGCGTGTGCCATGACCCCCTTGACCACCTCATGATGGTGTATGTCGAGACCGCCGGACCACACCATGGGGGTGGCTTCTTGCCATCTTCATTATCTTTCCATACTTAGTCAAATTTCTACTCCAAGACCTCCCACCCCCTTGGTACTTCCTAGGGGTGTTATGATAGACACCCCCCTTGGCACTTACTGGGGGTGGCAATATGGTGCCCACCCCCCTCGACACCTACTAGGGGTGGAGGTACTCTTTGCCTTAGCCAAATTCGACTATCACCCATCACCACGTCATGGGGTGGCGGTATGATGTCCACTCCCCCCCCCCCCTCCCTCTCCCCCCTTAGTACCTCCTGGGGGTGACGATACTCTGATACCCCCCCCCCCTTCGGCATGTCATGGGGTGGCTACTCTGATACCCCCCTTCGGCATGTCATGGGTGGCTTCCATACCCCTTGGCACCTCCTGGGGGTGGCAGTATGGTGCCCACCCCCTCGGCACCTACTAGGGGTGGCAGCAATCTTTCCCTTAGCCAAATTCGGCTATCACCCCATCACCACGTCATGGGGGTGGCGGTATGATGTCCACCCACCCTTAGTACCACCTACGTGTGGCGATACTTCGATACCCCCCTCGGCATGTCATGGGGGTGTCTCCCATACCCCTTGCTTCGACCCCCCCCCCTCCTAGTACCTCTTGGGGTTGACGATACTCTGATACCCCCTTCAGCATGTCATGGGGGTGGCTCCCATACTTAGCCAAATTTAGGGATGTATGGTACGCGTGATGGCACAGAGTAATGGGCCCAAAAATCCAATCCTCATGGCCAACTCAACTGATTTAAACTGTTATAATTAAGTTGGCCTTATAAAGCCATTTAATTCCTTGCTTTTAATCAATGTGGTACAAGGTTAATTTTTATGGGTAAACAAGTAGGGGTGAAAATTACCCTGACCTGACCCTACTCTGATCCTGTTTGACCCGCTCCTAAAGGGTCAAGATGTATAACTGACCCGACCCGCCCCTGTTTCCTTCTTGACCTTGTCTGACCCTTTAGGGTCGGGGCGAGTCAGGGAGGGTTGGGTCAGTGGGTCCACCCTTATCAACACACTGATTTTTTACAAATTACGTTTTGTTACCCAATATTATTTTTTTTTACAATTGATTACCTATTTTTTTACAAATAAGTCCAAAAAATTTGATTGAAAAATTATATTTTGGTACCCAAATTTTTTGTTTTTTTACAATTTAGTACCTAATCTTTTAAAATTTCACAAACAGATCCTATGTGTTGTTATTACGTTTTGGCTATTCCAAGACAATGATGGAATTAGAAGACATCCACCTGGTCATTTTCTACAAATTGAGGAAAGGAAGTTGAACTCCGACATCAAGCTCACAGTTTAAAACATTGGTAATCTAACAAATGAGTACACAATCATCAAGATAGGAAAGGATGAAGAAGAATAGAACACCAAGGATCTTCCTGACTTGATCGAGGTAAATTCTATTTTTATCAAAATGATGATCAATCTTAATTAAAAATTTGTGCTATTCTCTATTGGATATGGAATTGTATACCATGTAAAGGTCATACTCTCTTAGATTCTTTTTATCTATTTGACATCTTGAAATTGCCGAATGAAAGGAGCTAATGTTTTAATTAACATAATTGGTTTGGATGAATTATATTCAAATAAATCAATCTTGATTAAAAAGCTGGAGAACAACATTCTATATTTTTCACTGCCTATACTTTTTTTTTTTGGTAAAAATCACTGCCTATACTTGAAAATAAAGAGGATTTAGTATTTCTAATTTTTTATTCAGTGGGGAACTTTGCTTCCGCTCCACTAACTTGCAATTAAATATTAATTGCATGCGGCTCCAAATCCATCTACGACATATATTGGCCATTTATGATTTGATAAAATCATACCATATGTTGTAAGTTTGAATGTCAACAATCTAAATTCATAATGTTGATGGAGAAAAATAAGAATGAAACTATTATTGATGGAGGTAATAGATTTGGTGCTAGAGGCGATGATGATTTTGAGAAGAAGAAAGACATTGTTCATGAGGAAGATATAAAGACTAGTGATGGGGACAAAGAACAAATCCTGGAAATTGTTGGTCACTTGGTCGAGGTAAATTCTACTCCAATAAAAAATATGATTTGTATATGCAAATATAATTTACAATCAAATTTTTCGGCTCAAAGAATGTAGGAAAACAAGGAAGAGATAACAGATTTGCAAGAGAAGAAGGAAGAGTCAATTGATATTGAGGATAAATGCGTCACTAATAATGGAGATGAAGACATTATTACTGGTGCTGATCAGGTGGTTGCTCATGCAGGAGGAAATGCAAACAAGTCAAAAATAAAAACGTATTATAATTTCTGATGATGAGAAGACATTAAAATGGTCATTCTAATTTGTCTATGGGAGTTAGACCTGGCAAATTACAACCCGACCCGTTGACCCGACTCGAAACCGCCCGAAAATTAGAGATTTTTGTAACCCAAAATCCGAATGACCCGAACCCGATAACCCGTGATTTTTTGGGTCGGGTTGGGTGGGTTAACGGGTCGACCCGTTAGACCCGTTCCATTTAATATATTACTCCCAAAATATGATAAAATCACTCATAAATTGGTCAGATGTTTAAACAAATCACAAGGATTTGAATGACATGTTTGGAGTTTAAGGATAATCAAATATCATGTGTTTCTTGTAGTAGTATTACTCTTGTGATTATTTTTTGACGATTTGCGCAATTTATATTTCATATCATTAGCGTGGGAGGATTTGAGAATATATTAATTGACATGTGTTAGGTAAACTATTGTCATGCATATGTGAAAATTTGTGTTCGTTAAGAAAATATGAAACATGTTTGATATTGTTTCTGAGAATGCTCATAACCCGAAATGAACTGTAACCCGACCCGAAACCGAATGGGTTGGGTCAATATTTGACCCGAAATAAGCCAACCAAATATGACCCGAACCGTAACCGAAGTTCCTAACCCAAAATTACCAAACCCGACCCGATTGCCAGGTCTAATGGGAGTCGGTTCCTATGCATTGGGTTTTTATTTCATTAATCATTAAAATGTCGGAAAATAGTATGAAGTTGATAATAATGTTTATGGAATTTGAAAAATTAGATTTTATTATACTAATGCGTAACTAATATACAAATTACTATTGTTGCTATTTACGTGATTGTCAACTAAATCCGACTTACTGGCCGGGCCCGTAACTAATTCTTATTATAATTAACAAACAATTCTTCATCCCTTTAAAGGCCACACCCACACTTCATACGTATATATATTTCTTCTAAATATAATGGAATCTTCGAGTGATGCCCATTTTGGCTCTATATATGGTCTTCCCTTCCCCACATCATTCAATAATTTCACACTGTACCATTTGCCAAATTTAGAGGTCGATCGTGACAAAAAATCTTGTACTAAAAGAAGACCACAACTATTCACAGTTAGGTCGCTTTTGTAAGCATTGGGTTTGATTCTTATGTTACATTCATTCAACCCACCCAAAAAAAAAAAAAAAAAACTAAAAGCAAAAGGAGGGGGACAATTTGTTGTTTAAATATTCTTATCATTCATTTATGAAGGATAATTTATTAATATTTGTTTTTTTCTTGGCGTTACAGGTGAAATCAATGGCAAATTTATCGAAATTGTTTATCTGATATTGTTGTCCTTTTTTTTTATACAAAAGATCCATACTTATTCCTTAAAAATGTGATTTTTTATATAAAAATCTGAACTTATAGGTTTAGAATGCATCATATCACCAATACATGCATTCATTAATAAGTCTTTGGAGATCATATGGTGTCATGCGCTGGTACTGTGGTCGTTAAGCATCGTCATAACCTTGCTTATTGGACATACGTTACAGGTCTTGGATTTCTGCCGATAAGGAGGTTGATATCGGTCTGGTTGATGGACATGGTATACCCCTTATTTCTGCAGATTTCCTGCTTTATTATTTGGACATTGGGCAAGATGTGTGTGTTGATTTGACTGAGTCTTCACCTTTGACTTAGACTGGGATGACTGGTTTTGTGTCGGTGCCAAGTTGTTGCTAATGCTGCTCAGTGAAAGTGTGCCAAGTATCGGGGACTTGTGCATGGCGGCTAGTTACGGGTTCTTGCCCTTTTCTTTCTGTTCGCTGGGAGAGTTGGACATGGAAGTTGTGGCATTGCCAAGCGGATCAAGAAATTCTCAGTGCCTCAGCATGTGGGGGCTAGGGCGGTCATATACATTTTAACTTTGCTGTTGCTAAGTGAGCGGGGCTCAGATTGTATCTCGACTGTCCACTAATTTTTTCTAAATCTTTATTTGATCGTAATAATAATAATAATAATAATAATAATAATAATAATAATAATAATAATAATAATAATAATAATAATAACAATAATGAAAGTTTACTTTATAAAGATTGATCCGATAGACCAGCTCTTTTTGATAGTTACAAGCACTAACCAAAAACCCACTACACCAAGTTGCACCCATCATGATATTGTTAATTTAGAATATTATTTTATAGTGGCACTATAAATTAGAGCCCACATGAAAAAGCTGTTTGCCCATTCAATCACCTCCCACCCGCCTTCCTTTCCTCCCTCCCTCCTTCCTTTCCAGTTTCTACCCCAAGTTCACAGAAGAAAGCAAAGCTTTCCCAAATTCCTACCTGCAGCTGCATCATCACATACCAGGCTGGGAATCGATGTTCCGAACGTTAGCGAGACTGCGGCGGAACATAAAGAAGAGCCCTAGAGTTGCCGACGAGAGCATGTTTGGAGGAGGAGGGGTGGTGATGATGAATAGAGCTGGTGGTGGTGGCGATCATCGTCAACAAGCCCCAACTGATCACTCGTCGAACAAGCTCTCCGCGGTGATGGGTCTCGTCCTCCTCGCGCCCTTTTCGGTCTTTGCCTGCCTATCGCAGCCTCATGTCAGCGGGGCTGACGGGATGTGGGCATCGGCGGAGCTACCACAGCTCTCGGAGGTGAACCATCTCATGGTGAATGATAGCATGAGGTATGCGATACTTATGTAGTAAAGGAGTGCTATAAATTATTGATTAGGGCTTATGGACGGCAGAGGAGCTGCTAGGAGGGGTTTCATGGAACATTTTTGTTCTCTTGGGGGTTGTTTTTATTTTGGAGAATGAGGGGTGCTCGATCGATCTATGTATACTTCCTTTTGTTCATGGTTTCTTGGGAGGAATCGAAACTTCCTTTTTTTTGTACTATTGGGATTGGCCTAGCTTGTAATCAAAAGGGTTTCCCTTGTGATCTCCAACATATATGTGTATGGGCGTGCCGACGACTATGATTTACATAATCATGTAATTAGTGGATGGTTAAGTAGAGTGGAGAAGTGGAAATTTTCATCAACTAAATATTGTCCATGATGATCAACCATTTTTGACTTGCAGGTTGTAGTTCATCAATCAAGCAAAACCCTAATTTAGTACTCCCAAAATTGTTCTTTTTTTTTTCCCCCTCACTATGTACTCCCTCTCTTTTCTCTTCTTTATGCCTTTTTGTGCACAAAAAGGTAAGGGGGGGATTTTTAAGATTGTGTGGGAATGAGAAGAAATTTTGGATGGACATTAACGACCCATCATGTAATTGAACTTTTGTATGTGGAAGTGGAACAGAGAATATAAATAAGTGTACGTACAGAGATTGAAGTACCTGTTCTTGATTTTTCTCTCAAGTCTCGTCAATGATTAGAGAGGGCAGGTTAATATATAAGGAGAAAGGAGCGTCCATGCCTGTGATTCTTTGGAGTTACATCTTAAAATTAATCAATTCCCTGTCTCTGAACAAAAATCGTCAGGATATGGGAATCAGTGCCCTAGATAATAGGCCTCTACTTTACCAAACATAGATGAAAAAAATAATGAGGAAAGGTTTTATTCCATCCATCACTTGACTAACTTATGGGATTAAGTAGTAAATTGTAAGTATGCAGCTGGTGTTCGATCAATCTAATTCAAAGCAAGCAATTAGAGGCCGTACAGTGAATATAGTCACAGTTTTCATAATGGCTTGTTATACTTTCCTGATGGTTATAGGCTTATCTTGATTCCTCATCATGAACAAATAAAAATTTCATTCTAGATGTTAGAAAAAAAAACATAGACATTCAAATTGTCAATTATGACTCATGAGAGTTGAGTGGCACTCGGTGTTGTAGTGGGGTTCAAACTCATATTTTGAGTGTTGAAAACTGTTTTACTTAAACAATTAAATAACATATCTGTGAAAATAATTATCTAAAATTTAGTCCCTTCCAAACATATTTTAAATGTATAGACTAACACTATGTTTGGGAAGGGGTGCAAATGGAAGGGGGTGCAAGTTTGAAGGGGTAAACACAAGTTCCAAGGTGTTTACCCCCGTTTGGTTATTTTGTAACAGTAGGGGGGTGCAAAACGTGAGCGTAAATTCACTGTTTCGGCTTACCCCCCAAATTGGGGTGCAAGGAAAGGAAGGAAGGGAGGGGGAAGGAGGAGGAGGGGAATTATGAATTTTTAATTAGATTATAATTACATAATAATTAATATTATTAATTTTTTCTTATATCTATATTAGTGTAGAAGTTGTTTGGGGTTGACCGTTTGACTAAGAGAGCAAGTTTGTCAATGTTCGCCTCGTCAAATCGATATCTCTTAGTTGACCCGAATTTGCATTGAAAATTAGAGATAAGAAGCATTTGTTGAAAAGATAGAGAGGAACAGTTTAGTTAACTCGATTTACTTTAATAAGTAGTTAAAACTTACAGATTCGAACGTGTTTGACTAAGTTTGACCATATTCAATTTAAAGTTAGGCACGAGAACCCCCTTAGGATGACCAGTTACGAGTTGGATTTCGAGTTTCGAGGTTGCTCGACCAATGATTATTATTGTTGTTATAAATAATTATATTTGAGCATTATTATATAATAATTATTTTTATTAAAATTATTTTTATTTATTATTTTTATTATTATATATTGAATTTTCATGTTATTATTTTGTGATAATATTTTATAAATTGATAAATCTATTTTATAATAATATAATTACTTACTTTTTACTCTATTTGCACCCCCTACTTTTTCATCCAAACAACAATTTACCCCTCCACTTACACCCTCCACCAAGTTGCACCCCCCAACAATTTACCCCTCAACTTGTACCCCCTCGAACTTGCACCCCCCTTGTTGCCAAACATAGTGTAAAAGAAAAATTGTGGCATGCGCGCCGGATTCATTTTATTGATGAGCTACAGAGTTAACTGGCAAGCGTCCTCCAATTAGACTTATAAGTAATTTAAAGACCAAATGAAAGCCTCAAAATTGAACATTTTACTGCCCCATTTGATCTTTACAAGATTGGATAGTTCCCAACAACTGGAAATAAAACGATTCAACGACTAAAATGGGCAAAAACAATCATATTTTGTCTCCTGTAAAGACGAGACCATATTTCTCCCAATTTCTTATATCATCGTCCACCATTTGCAACTTTCATACTATCTTCTACGATTAACAACTTTCAAATCATCCTCCACCATTTTCAAGCCTTTTTTCATATCCACAAAAATTTGGATAAATGTCACATTCGGTAACAGCGGCGGATCCAGAACACAGAAGTGTAATGGGCCGCATTTTATTAGAAAATTAGAATAGTAAAAAAATATAATGATTATAATTTTTTTACAATGTAAATTGTACACGACGGTATTTTAATTTAGTGAATGCATTAATAATGGAGTCCACATCCATACCAATAGTATACACTGTTTCAAATAAAATACTTGAGCAATCGACTAGAAATCCATCGCTCATTTTGTTGCGCAAATCAATTTTCACATGTTTCATTGTTGAAAAGGTTCTCTTCGTATTAGATGTTGAAACGAGCAGCATCAACACTAGACAAATCAATCTACTAATCAACTTGCATTGTGTTTCCATCCCTATATCCACCCGCTGCTCTAGTAAATTTTCAAGGTAACAAACCTCAATATATGTTTTAGTCTTTTACGTTTTAAACTTTTTGAATTTTTAGGTTTCATTGTTTTTTAGACGAATAACTTTTAGGGTTAGAATTTATAAGCTAAATTTGGAGTAGTGATTTTGAATATGTTCATCTGAATTATTTTTCTAATTATACCCAATCTTATTTTAAAATAACAACGACCCGAATATCTAAAATCGAAAAATTCATAAGGCCTATACTAACTATGGATCCAGAAGAGGGCTGGGCCGGGGCCCGGGGTGGCCACCCCCTGAATCCGCCACTGTTCGGTAACTGAGATTACTAAATCATGTCATTTTTATCACTAGAGAAAATTAATATCAACGGGAACCTAATTAATTGTAGCTTGACTGAACTACGTCTTTATCTAAATCAACCGAACTGTACAAATCGATTTGATTTCCTTACATGGGATACAACTGTGCGGTAATGATTAGGGGAGTGACTAATAGTGCGGTAATGATTATTGCTTCATGGTGGAATGGTGAATGTGTTTAAAACTTAAACCATTTCCCATTTGCTTTTCCATGACCTTAGTGGTCACTACACTGCAAATATGCACTACTAATTATGGGAATATTAGGCATGGCATGAGACCCAATAGCAAGTCACTAAGTCAACTAGGGTAGGTCATAACTAGCAATCCAACACCTATTGGGCATTGGCTATAGTGGGAGAGTAATAAAAAATATGGTGAGAAGTAGCTATCTTGTGGCTTTCATTAGAGATGAAATTTGGATGAGGGAGAACTAGCTATCTTTGTGGCTAAACATTTTGATTTCAACTAAAAATGATGTTTTTCTCTATAAAAAAAATAAAATAATGATGTTTTAAACATCTGGAATAGTGAACTCCATTTGAAGAATTGTTATCAAGTGCTATAAAGTCGATTTTTAAGAGGAAAAATCAAATGTTGAATTTGAATTATGATTGTGATACATAGTGGTGGTGGTGTTATATTGATAAATAGGACCAGCGTATTCTATAAAGGCAAATGTTACTTACCAACTTTCAAATTGCATAACATGTCTGCATCAATCAATCAAGGATTTTCCTCTGGTGCAGTATGAGGTTATTGATGACCCTTTAGTGGTGGAGGCGCTTGTCCTCAGAGAGGCTCTCCTCTGGTGTGTGGCCAAGGGGATTCAGGATGTGCGTTTTGAAGGCGATGCCAAAATCATCATTGATAAGGTCAATCACGCTGAGACTAATGATAGCAGGGTTGGAGTGATTCTGGACGAAATCAGGCATTATATGGGACATCAGCCGGGGTTTAGTTTGCGATTTATAGGTCGGAGAAACAATAGGGTAGCCCATGCGGTGGCTAGAAAGGCCCTTTCTTTGTCCCCGTCTATGTGTCGCGGGTTTAATTTCCAGACCTGGCTGTTCTCCAGGATGTAACCGTATCTATTTTTCAATCAATATATGCTTATCTTTTGTCAAAAAAAAAAAATCAAGGATTTTCCCCCACTCACCCACTTAGAAAGGAATCTCTATGTAAAGTTGCTTGTTTATTTGTTGTAGTAGAAAATGTACCATGTAGTTGGCGGTGGTGGTTTCTCCTCGTAGTTCTAGATGGTCATGCAAATGAGCCAAATTCTTCACCAATAGTTCGACACTTGACTCAGAAAAACATATCCGCTGCTGATAGTACTCAAATTAGTGTTATTAAGAATTCATATTTAGACTTGTTTCGATTCATTTTATATTTTTTGTGGTCAACGTATCACCAAATATACCATGAATGTGCTTTAGGCCATGTGCAGCTCGGCTCTTTCCATTAAATTTTTTCTGAGCTAGGAAGTTCACGAGCACGCCCAGAACGGGCGTGTCGTAGGTCGTCTTGTGATGAGTGCCTAGATCAAGGGAGGTTGTATGCTTTGTGGGTGATGGCTAATGGTGGTGGATTAGTGGGCTTAGGCGTGTAAAATGGGGAACTGGGATGGTGATTGGGAGTTGGTGGTGGAGCAGAAGAACGTTGGGGAAAAATTGGACGTGGGGAAGAAAGGAGAGGGGAAGGTTTTGGGCCGCTCAGCTGAGAGAGATTGGAAATTGATTAATTGTTTGTGTATTGCTTAATAATCCCGAATGATAATAATACGTAAACTTATAGTCTCCTTCCCCTAACAACTATCATAATAATCCCAAATCTCCCCAATAATCCCAAATCCCCTAGAATCCCATTGAATATCCTCAAATAACAATAATAATAAATATGACATAATTAATGTAATAAACTGGTGACACGTCATCAAACTGGTGGCAAACGTGGCCCCCCTCTGGCCGCCGCAATCCGCTTCCATTTCCAGTCCCACCAGCTCCCACAACTCCCCTTGCGTGGCCCCTCGTTGGCTCTCAACGGTCTTCCTAGGATCCCTTTCAAGCCTATCAACTCCTCTTCTTTCCTTTTTGCCACACGGAAAGTAACTCTCACAGAATAGGGTTCACTCACTTTAACAGCAGCGACAATTTATGGTTTCAACCTAGCTAAATACAAATCGACCAAGCTTCCTCTGGAATCCCATAACACAAATTCCTAAATCATTCAAACTCAAACTGGAAATCACTTAAAGTGCTAGTTTGCTTCAGTTTGACCAACTTCTCGGAAGATTACTCGCCCGTCCCTCTAAACCGATTTGCGAATTCTTTCTTGCATCGCTCCCATACGATTTCTTCTCCTTTCTCGGCATATGTATGCTCCAGTCACTCCCACCATTGTTGAGCTCCAACCTCGAGGTAGAACGACATGAGGTAAGCCTGTCTCTCCTCTGAAATATTTTGTTGCCAGAACCACCGTTTCGCCAGAGCCACCCACAGCGACGCATCTTCAAACTCAATAGTCGTAACCCGCGGGTTGAACCAGCTTCATCCATCACCATCTCCACCGTACCAGCCTCTATTTATTCCCTAGTGTCCCTGATTGTGGTTGTCTCAGCCCCAGTTCTTGTGGTCATGTCTAACCATCTCTCAGTCACCGATCCGATTGAAAAATCCTCATTCCTGTTATCTCTGGAGCCAGTCCCCTGTGCTCTAACTACCTTCTCCCTTCAGGAACCCTTGACTTCCCACTGGTCAACTAAAACGGGCTGAGTGTTCCAACGGTGACCCGAAGCGTGCTCCAGTTCAAGCCGATTTGCATTGTCTAGGTTGACCCCATTCCGGTCAAACATTAGGTTGAACGATCCCGGTGGTTTCCGTCGATCCAGCCAGCCGCCCCAATTTCATTTCGTCACTCCATCCCTCCTTAATTGATCCTCGGCGTCTGTCCACCTCCGCACCTCACACGGCCGATCGGTCTACCTTCATTTCGTCCACGCTGCCACCTTCATCTCGCCCTCCGAATTCATCCCACGATCATCTTAGGGGGTGCTTCTGTTGGGTAGATTTGGCGAATTTCGACGATGGTCTCCCGCTTGCTCAACGATGGTCGCCACCGGCGATTCGTTGCCTGGTGCCCGTCCCCGCCATGGTCGTGAAGTGTCGCGATGGCCTTGAACGGGATTGTAAATCCTTGTTCCATGACAGTGATTTGACGAACCACGGCCGCCTGTCCCTGCTCCGTGGTGGCTGTCGTCTTTTGGCCTTTTTCCAATAGCTTATCCAGTTTGGCCATCAGACCCTCTCATCCTTCAGCCAATTTTACGATTTTTGCGTACACCACCTAAACATCAAGTTCTTCTTTCACGATGGGATGATCCAAAGTTGTCTACAATCCTTTTGTTTTGCTCATATTCCTAGTGTCAACTGTCATAAAACGTCACCCCAACCAGGCTCTTATACCATTTGATGAGTGTCTAGATCAAGGGAGGTTGTCTACTTTGTAGGTGATGACTAATGGTGGTGGGATTAGTGGGCTTAGGCGTGTAAACTGGAGAAATGAGGTGGTGATTGGGAGTTGGTGGTGGATCAAAAAAAGGTTGGGGGAAATTAGACGTGGGGACGAAAGGAGAGGGGAAGGGTTTGGGGCGCTCGGTCGAGAGAGAGATTGGAAATAGATTAATTGTTTGTTTATTGCTTAATAATCCCACTCTCCTTCTCCTAACAACTACCATAATAATCTCAAATTTCCTCTAATATTCCCAATAATCCCAAATCCCCTAATCCCATTGAATATCCTCAAATAACAATAATAATAAATATAACATAATTAAAGTAATAAATTGATGACACATCAACAATATGTGCCTCCATCATCTTGCTCTTGTTAATTTTTCTATTCACATCCAACTGCCTTTCAAGATGTCCCGAACTCCATCACTCTCATCCTTAGCACGTTTTCGTTCTTATATCATCAAATTCGCTCAAGATGACTTGAAGCACACTAAAACAACAAACCGTGCATAAACTAGAAAAACATATAAATCTTGTTGAAATTATCGCTGAAACAACGTCAAATGTGAAGTAAAAGTATATATAATCTACGTGTAATCTAATTACCACAAACTTGTACTTTGCTTGTCCCCAAGCAAACCATACTCAAAACAATAGAGCTTAATAGACCTCTCTGATGGCACATGACTTTCGACCAAGTGTAGTGGATCATAAGTAGCTAACAAGGTCAACCATCACACTTATAGAATTAGACCACATCAATTGAAGTTCATATCTCGTAAGGACAATATGACCATCTCTATCAATCATAAGCTCTAAACTCCACTCGAGATTCCCTATATGGTTTGGGTTAAGCTTTTGCACGCTTTATTTTGATGTTTCAACACATATCTACCTTTTTTTTGAAAATTAAGAGTTTAGATGATTGGAAGAGGTCAATAACTCAAAAAGGATAGTGAGAAGCACTATATCAAAACATATTGAGTGGTCTTTAGTCTCATGACGAGGACATCCATCATAACGCACTACACTATCCTCTCTAGATCATGTATCAGCATGGAGACTAGAAATTTAGAGTAAGTTGTGCCTTTCAAGAAACATATAATTTTCTATTTTCTTAGCTTTTCTCATCACTATTTTATCTTTTTCGCCTGTAGTGAGCTATATTATAGCATTAGACTCTTATGAGTTAAGCAACAACAATTTGTATCTTTGCCATCGTCAGATAAATTCCTTCACTCATATACTTCAATTCATATGGAGGGTCAATGAAGTTAAGAGCTGTTGGAAGCTTTATCTATGCCCTTAAAACACATCCTCAAGATGGTTATCAATTCAACAGGTGAAAATTTTACTTGTACTAGAGATGAACTAGCATTGAATTGGAACACTGAACTCAACTAGTATCTCTTCCGAAACCCATTTTTTGCAATGAAAAGACGCATCAAATAGTGGGTTTACCCCATACTTTATTCTGAATATTATACGGAAAATTTCATATGATACAATCATATATAGGTAGTTTTTGTAATTGATAAAAGGTAAACTTCATCCTATGAATTTGTTTTGAAAAGTGTAGACTTAATGCATAATTATAAATTTATAACAAATCAAATATCATGGTATTCAAAACATATTAGTATGATCATAGCATCTCATTAACTATCACATCTTTCATAGTCACTACATTAGCATCCCTTGATTAAGTGAAATCCCTAGGTTCATTGAGTCAAAGTAAGATGAGAAAAGAACATGCTTGTAGGAAATGACTAATCAAGTCAATTGACAGATAAAACATCTTTAATAATGCCGAAAATTCACATGGACATCATAACCACTAGTATTAAATAAAATTTTAAAATTGAACAACTAAATATGGAACATTTGTATAACATAACAAAGCAAATCATCATAGAAAATTTTCACCCCACAATTTAAACAACATTGTTCTAAATGGACTAAAATATAAGTGCACCATGGCAAAGGGTTGGCAAGGTTTACTTCATTTATCATTCAGTTCGAAGTACGAAAAAGGTGACTTAGGCTAACATTACTCTTCTTCATTGCTTAGGGATATTCTAAATAAACAAGAATAAACCAAAGAAAAGTAAAAGCAGACGATGGAGAGAGAGTCAATACTTCATCTCCTAGATAATATCCGAAAGAAAAATAAAAAAAGGAAGTGATACTGCCCAACGAGTGTGATTAACACGCTCTTTTTATCATATGGCCAATCAAGTTTTTATGTCCATCCATCACCTCATCATTTGTATTTATTGAAGATGGTAGTTTGGAGATGATGGTGAATAAAAATTTTAATAGTATTTTCATGTTTTACTCTCCAGCTCCTCGATCTTCTCTAGTGACTCGCAAATACTAACACACTAAGAAACGACCAATTGCAATCATAATTGAGGAATGTAGTATAGTGGTTTCGGTTTTACTTTTCAACCCTGATCCAAGATGTATTGACTACTCAATAAATTGTCTATTATCTAGTGGTAATAGTGTAGAGAATTGGTTCACTTGCAATGTAGAAACAAAAACAAGTTAATGTTATGATTTCCGAATTCGTGAAATACCACTGCAGTTAGGCCAAAATTGTAATTCATTCAATCCAATGCAGTTGATATTTATACTGTAAAAAGTCCTTAAATAATCTAGAGTCTTAACTAAAGTTCTCTAGAACCTCTTGAATAGAATACCCGACAGGATACTATCCTCCACCGGAATAAACTACCAAGGCAATTCAAACAGACTTCCTCTACTGAGTTTCAACTCTAGTATAGAGAAATGATTGACTCTCGTACAATCAATTTACTACTTCCAATTCAAGTTTTTTTTTTATAATGTTAGTACTACTCTCACCCAAGCACGTTTAACTTCCAATTCAAGTTTCTTTATTGACCTATTCAGAGACTATCGTTCTAGGTCAAAGCAGGAATCATACAAACATGATCAAGATTAATATAATTCCGATTAATGCTTCAATTCAATATATAATTATCAATGTCATGGAAATGGGTTCATACAACGCTCCTAACATACAGATCTAGGGTTCTACATACCCAAGTGGATTAGGAGTTTACTCCATTGAGAAAGAGGAAAACACAATGTTGGAGAGGGAGATCATCATGGTCGTATTAGGATTTGACACATCACAAATGCACACAACCTACTGTAAAATTGACTTAATATGAAAGAACATGATCCAAAACTCTCAAGAAACGAGGTAACAAACATGTGTAATTAAAGAGTTATCAAATTCCCATACACTTAAACGTTTGTTTGTCCCCCCAGCAAACCAAGTAAGACACCAGGTCAACTTTCAAAAAAATCACAAAAAATTATTGTGGACATATCATAGTGGCACACAATTACATGAATCACCTTGGATATTCGACCTCGAGACACAGAAAAACACCCACAACAACTTTGACAACCACCACACAGATGACATTCGAATGCAGCAAAATCATGGAGATGAAGAGTTTCCACTATGTTCACAGGCCACAAAACAACTCGTCCTAACTACTAACTGGTCACTTTCACTCATGCATAAAGATCAAGGCATTAGAATCAAAGATCGAGCAATCTAGGTCCTCACTGGGATATATAATATGGAAAACGAATCACTTACTCTTGACCAGTTGGGACAAGACAATTTTATGTAAAAGATGTGCATACTCATTCTCTCATCCCTAACTTCTCTTCACCATTATAGTAGTTCATAAGGGTTAGAGTCCACAAAACATGTGTCACCATGAACTTGTCATGAGGACTTGACCGGGTTGCAACGTAACTGGCAGGGGGCTCGAACATGGGGAACATGATATGAGGTGGTGGATGCATACAATCAAAGTTCCACAATTCCATTCAAATAACATACAACATGAATCATGCAAATCACTTTCTCTTTCCTAATGCTACTTCTAGCATATTTAAGCATAAGAGTGTAGGAGGTACAATAATTTTGAGCAAGATCAAACTTTTGTGGCAGCTCTCATTTTTTCAAAATTGTCAACATTTTTGTTATCTCTTTTTCATTTTCTGGGAGCTAACATCCTGCCACTTTTTGGAACTTTTCAGAACACATTGTTCAACCATTTTTAGGCACTTCCTCCAACACTCACTTCAAAAGTCAGCACAAATCATGCAAAAAATTAACCATTTGGAACCTTGAAGAAACACAAAGGTGACTCAAACATACACAAAGAAGGGACTCATGGCTCAAGGGGGTTGACTAAGGGATATTATGATCAGGGCAGTCAATTTGGTCATGGGTTAACGATATATCTCCATCATCCTCATTAATGGCAACGTGAATGCTACCTATCATGGTAGAAGAGATCTATCGCACAAGAAAGAATTGAGCAGGCTCAAATCTAAACGGCTACCTAAATGCTCTATCTCTAATCATGATTCTTTAATTTCGATGCATAGACAAATGAAAAGAGTGAGTAGTCAATCCAAGTAATAAGTTGGTTTGCAAATAGTTAAAAACTAAACCCCACACAATTCTATTGCATTGTGCCACTATGATCATGCAATTGGTTTGCTTGGAGCCCTCAAATTCAAAATGTAGACAATGGACTAGGCTCCAAGCACAACCATATAAGCCAAAAAGTTAAAAGGTAAACACCCCTCCCCCCACACACTTAATGTCGATTGTGCCCTCAATAGAGCACAAGGAAATAAGGTGAACAATGTTACTAGGATAGTACGAATGTCAGCATGATTGGAAAAGGGACCAGTCACCAAGAGCGGATTAGAAGATGGACC